TTTTTTCCACCAGGTCTTCACCTAAATAAATAAATGAATACATGAATAAATAAAGGGGGAAAAAGAGAAAGAATGAACGAAAAAGAAGGAAGGAGGGAAAGAAGGAGGGAAGGAAGGAAGGAAGGAAGGTAAGGATGAATGAATGAACAAATGAAGGAAGGAAGGAAGGAATGATATAAATAAAAAGGAAATAAATAAGGAAATAAATAAGGAAGGAAATAAATCAATAAGTCAATTAATAAATAAATCATTATACCAATCAATAAATATATGTAAATAAACACCCATAGGGTGTGTAGTCTATGTGAATAAGTGCTTTGGAGTGTAATTGAGACAAGTGTGTATAATATCAGATAGAATAGTTTTTGAACTGATCTATTGTTTGCTGCAAACGTCAATGTAAGGAGAGGCACGCTATGGGTGTGTGTGTTTGGGGGGTGGGGTGGTTGTAGATGAGAAATGGAAGGGAAGGAAGTCGTGAGGATGGGATAGGGAAGAAAAAGGGGAAGGATAGAAGATAGAGGAGGGAAGGGAGTAAGTGTGAGAGCATAAGGAATGGCAGAGAAGTGAGGAGGGAGTGCAGCGAAAGAAAAAAGGAGAGTGTTTTTTGGGGAGAGGAGGGGAGGGGAATTCTATTTTCTTTTTGTTTGTGTGTTCAACATAACCAATACATAATTTTATCGTACACATCACTCCTGAGACTTATTTTTTCTTCTGTTGTCTCCGTTGTCTCATTCTTTCCCTCCTTCTCTCTCTCTCTCTCTCTCTCTCTCTCTTTTTCTTTAGCCAAGCACGAAACAAATTTTAATAATGCGATAATTTTATCAACAAACACGGTACATTTACATGAAATGAAATAGAAATAAACAACTCCTTAAGGTTTACCTGTTCGGTCAACATTCGGGCACGAAAGGGAACCAGGCAGAAGACACAATTGCAATACTGTACAAGTAAAGATAAGATTATATCCCCCTGACGCAAGGAAAGTTGAGGCGAATGAGTTGAACTCCATATCTATGAAAAGTGTTTAGATTAGTTTTAGTAGAAGTTTTACGGCGCTCGCAACTGCATAAGGTCATATGAGCGCCAGAAGATTAGAGCTGTTACAAGAGAGTAACAAACATAAAAAAGAAGAAGGGGAGATAAGGACGATGGATGTTTGACAGGAAAGGAGAAGCAAACCACGCCAGAGCACCCGCCAACCACCCACTATGAGAAGTGTGTGATCCAGCGATCTATTGATAGCCGTCCCTGATCCTAATAAGGGGCTAACCAGAATACCCCCTTGTTACAATCAGAATACTGAGTACGTATCTGTCTTAAAACTATTGTTTATAATTGTTAATGTTCATTTATATTGCGCTTGTAACTGTGACCCTGTTTGTGAGTGCAAGCATACTATTGTTATTTTTTAAATATTATTATTATTATCATGGTTATGTGTACAGCTGTGTGTGAAAGAGATTATGTGTGAAAGAAGATAGTGTGTGTGTGTAGGATATATGGGTGTGCACATGTACGTGTGTATGTGTGTGTGTGTTTGTTTGGTTGTTTTTGTTGTTTGTTTTGTTTTGTTGTTGTTGGGGGGTTTTTGGGGGGGTTATGTGTTTTTGGGGGGTCAGTGTTTTGTGGCGCTCGCAACTGCATACGGTCATATGAGCGAGCGGGACACATTAAACATTTTCAGTTGGTAGGAAATTTTGAAGTTTTCCCAGGTGGCGGCCAAAGCCTCCTCCTGTCGATTTATGACCACCAAGGGATCTTTAACGTGCACAACTTGCACACTGGACCTCCGATATTTTTCGCTAGGTGTAGATCTTTCCTGCCAGAAGATCAGGGGTGTGGCTGAAAGATAGTAGTAAGAAGGAGCTAAGGAGTAGCAGTAGAAAGGCAGTAGAAACATTCAGGAACCTAGAGGAGGGGGCAAAAGAGGTAAGGGGGTGAGGCAGAAAGTGGAGACGAAACCAGACAACACAACATTGATAGAGAGCAGGATAGGATGTGAAAAGAGAAAATTTTAGACAATAAAATGGTTCATGTTTGTGAGTGTGTTTGTGTGTGTGTGTGTGTGTGTGTGTTTGTGTGTGTGTGTGTGTGTGTGTGTGTGTGTGTGTGTGTGTGTGTGTGTGTGTGTGTGTGTGTGTGTGTGTGTATGTGTGTACGTGTTTGTACGTGGTGAAACACCAAACCAATGTGCCAGGATCTGGGCAATAAAGATGTATCTTTTCTTATCTTATCTTATCTTATCTAACGAAGCAAAACGTTTGTTCTGGCGTATTGAAGCTGAGATGATTTAAGACCACGAGATAAGAAAATAATAATAATTGCATTTATATAGCGCATATCCATGCTCAAGAGCATGCTCTATGCGCTTTACAGCCATTATTACCCCCAGCAGACCCTCTGAGAACACTCGGAAACATTCTCGGCTTCCGCGGAAGCATACAGTGCAAGCTGCAGATTTCACGCATTCAAACACTATCAAACTGACAAGATCGTTCACTGTCTATAGCCGGGTACCCATTTCCACCTGGGTGAAGTGAGGAAAATGTGTGCAAAGTGCCTTTCCCAAGGTGACAACGTCGGGCCCCTGACGGGATTCGAACCCACGACCTTACGGTTGCGAGTCCGAGAGCCTTTAACCACTAGGCCATCGACGTTCTGATGACACAATGACATCCAGAGCTAATCAGTCGGCTTGAGGTATTGTGAGTAATGAATAATGTTGCGTTTGTCGCTTTTATGAACGTCTGTGGACTCGTTTATTTACTTGAACCTGGCAATAACATAGTATAATTAGATACTTTACTTACACTTTTTCCTGCTACCTACCGGTGTCGAGGGGATAAGCATACGTCTTTCTCGTGTTTGTTGTATCGCCTGTTGCATAGTTATATTATTGTTGGGGGTTTTTTATGTTTCTCTGACCCCTTATTTCCATCTTTTCTTGGGGCCTACCTCTTCCTCAGTAGGCATAGAGCCTGCTGTTGAGCGGGGATATGCGCTATACAAATGCTATTTATTATTATTATTTATTATTACTCAGGTTGTATGCTCACGCTGCTATACTGTCTGGTTGTTGTCTTGGCAGATGTCGAAACCATTTTATTCGTTGTTTATTACTATAAGCAGGAAATCGAGCAAACATGTTCTCTGACAATCTCGTTTCTCACCCAGTCTCTTCCTGTGATGTTTAAAGTTTTTCATAGACATCTCGTTTCACATGGTTTTAATTCACTTTGATGACTCTTGTTATTGTCCATGTTTTGGGTAGATAGCTGAGTGTTTGTATGAGAAGATGCTGTTAACCAGTTGGCATTTTGTTTCAATTGTGATGTTGGGATGTGAAAGTTATGGTGCCAGTTGGTATGTCACAGCATTGGCCTTTTTAAAGAATTTGGTTACTTTCTCTCCGCATATCTCCGTCTTGGTGAACACACAGGTATTTGAACTCTTTTTATTTGCTTGCGCTTTGCGTTGTCGACTCTGGTATTTGGTGGGCTGGTGTTTTTACTGATTTTCATCACACGGTTTTGCTTGTGCTGATTTTCAATTGATTGTGGTCTTTGCAGACAGATATTAATGAAATACAGGAATGAATTCCTTGTATCTGATTGTAAACGTGATATTATTGCATTTTATGGTAAAGTTTTTAAAATACTTCATTAAAGATAACAGAAACTTGATAAGACTTCTGAAAATGTTGAAAACATTTATTCGATTTTTTATGGACAGGAAAGGTGCATGTGTGTATCTGTTTGTGTGTGTGTGTGTTTGTGTGTGTGTGTGTGTGTGTGTGTGTGTGTGTGTGTGTGTGTGTGTGTGT